CCCCAAAACCCCAAAACCCCAAAACCCCAAAACCCCAAAACCCCAAAACCCCTTTTATACCTATCTCATTGGATAAAATACTTTAATTAGATTATTTATATAATACAATGCAAAGTGGTACTGAAAGAAAAGCTAGGAAGACCAAATTCTTCGAGAGAGTCTACAACATCTTTGACAAGTACAAGAGAGCTCTATTAGTGCAGTGTGATAATATCTCTGCTCGACAGATTCATGATTGCAGGAAAGAGCTCAGGGCTGGCAATTCTTTGATGCTCATGGGAAAGAACACTCTTATTAAAGCAGCTCTACAGAAGAGACTCACTAAGCCTATTAGAGGAGATCCAGATTTTGAAGGAAGAAGCAAAACTTGGACTCCTATTGATTATATGGAGCCATTTGTTAAATTATTAAAGGGAAATCTAGGAATAATTTTAACTAATCATGATTTGGCTGACATTAAGGAGATCATTGATAGACATGCTAGAGAAGCTCCTGCAAAAGTTGGTGCCATCGCTCAGTGTGATGTCTGGATTAGAGCTGGGCCAACTGGATTGGAGCCAAGACAGACCCTCTTCTTTCAGAATTTAGGAATTCCGACAAAGATTTCTAGGACTCAGATTGAAATTACGACAGATAAGCAAATTATCTTCGAAGAAGAGAAAGTTGGCAGCAACGAAGCCGCTCTTTTGCAAAAACTAAACATTAACCCATTTTCTTACAAGTTGAAAGTTGTCAATGTATTTGATAATGGAAAGGTATATGGTCCAGAAGTCCTCAATATAACCCCAGAGACCATTGTTGAGTCATACAAGAAGGTTATCTCCAATGTTGCCTGTCTTTCTCTTGAGACTGGTATTCCGACCAAAGCCTCTGCATCACACAGTATCATGAGAGTGTTCAAGAACTTGCTTGCTGTCACCTTTGAAAGTGACTACACATTTAAACAGGCTGATATAATCAAGGACGCTGCTGTAGCAGTCTCCGCTTCACACAAAAAATCTGCTGATGAGGAGCCTGATATCCAAGAGCCACAGGAAGAAGAAGCTGAAGAAGACTTCGGAGGCGGTGCTGCCAATCTATTCGGAGATGATTCCGATGACTACTAGTTTATCTTTCCCTAATAGAGTGTCTCTTCAACTTTCTTCAATCCTTGTTTGGTGAAAAGGGGTTTTGGGGTTTTGGGGTTTTGGGGTTTTGGGGTTTTGGGG